GTAATGTAATTCTAAAAGATTATAATGTATTGTGTGTGTCATATTTTTTCTTTTTTGAATCTCCCGCCGATTCCGCCCCCCTGCGCACCGACCCTCACAGGGAAGGGAACCCGGAAGATGGATGCCGGCATCGGCCGTAGGACACAGCGGGAGGACATCAGGGGATCGCAGGACAAGGTAAGGATCGGGGGATCGCAGGACAAGCACTACAGTGTAATCCTGAGTGTGGCTCGGGGTTACCGCTGCTGGTACTGTAAATTAACCCTGAGCCACACTCAGGATTACCACTAGGAAGGTTACTATCTGTAATAGCGTGCAACCAACAAAGCTGGCCAAATGCATACTAGATTTGGCTGCCTACTGACAAAAATAAATCCAGGTACTGTGTGGGCGAGTAGCTAAAGATGCAGGCAGCTATTCCAGGTGTGGGCAGTTTGGCTGAGCCAAATTCCCCAGTGGGCACTCCCTCCATTCACCCATTATTTTTTTTTCATGATAAATATCAAACACTGTCAGTTGTGCATTGGGTCTTTTAAGGTTCAAAGAAGACAATCTTCACTGCACAATATCAATAAAATTAGATTTTTTTTATTGTATAAAGAGTAAAATCTAATGAGTTCTAAGAGCAATTATATCCAAGACAACTATTTTTACAATGATATATTCATAGAGGCATTACACATAGAAAACCTTTCCTAAATCAATATTATACTTTTTTTTCTTAACATATGACTAACATCTCCAAAAAATGTATTCACGTGAATTTGATGAAAATGGAAAACAGTCTTCTTTCACTGCAGATGCAATCTGCAGTCTAGCTTCCTCAGAATAGGAAGTAGTTAATATTGTGACAATGCCCCTCCAAATATTAAAAACCAGGAGCTGGAGACCAGCCCCTCAAGCAGAGAGAGGTAAGACCAACTGGGATATCACATAGCTGTTATCAATGCGCATGCTAAGGGGAATTTCATAATCGGTGCTGATCAACTTTACAATGCTTTTATAGATGTTTGAGCTTGTATGGCTCCTCGCCAATAAGTCAATAATATTCGTGTAATTTTGCATGCTTCAAAATAGGAAGGAATTAGCTATTTTGCTGCTTTACTGACATTAAACAGGTAGAGGATGTCACAAGCTTACAATATGGCAGGTGTCTTAGGCTAATTTCATGGTATACAGTGGTTTATGACCGACATTCAACTCCCATGAACTCAAAGCACAATGCTTACAGGTAACTAAAGGAAAGATCCCCAGGCTCTACAAAGAGGGACACAGATGACCCACTTATATTTTACTTGAAGTCCTAAGGCATATCTTATACTTTGAGCTACTTTCTGCATGTTGAGGGGACCTGGTGCCGTAAGCCATCTATCAGCTCGAAGTATGTTAATGTAATTTCATGATCAATTGCACCAATACTACCACTTATTTATAAAGCTGTTCTGGAAATTTCTCTACTTTGTTATCCTGTTTTCTACAATATGCTATTTTGATGTAAAAATGCTATATATATGTTGAAAAGATAACTAAAGTGGCCTTTAAGACAAAAGTTTTTGTTATTGGGTCTGGATGTTGCTGGAGATGTCAGAATCTGTCAGATTTTTAGGGGCAAATAAGAGACCAAAAATGCTTTTTTTCTGCTTTTACTGCTGTGTCTCCATTAAGCAGACACCAGGGTTAGATATCGCTATAGCAAGAAGTGAGGGAAAAATCACCTAAGTGGGCACCCACGCAGATTGTTGTCTTTCCATATTCTATCCAACCCCCCCAAAAAAAAGTTCAGGATAGAGCTATTCTTTAAGTATCTTTGCTCTGCATACAATGCACCCTGTAAACTGTGTGTGGGTATTCATGTATTTGTCTGTCTGACAAGACACACATATTTGCCATAATTTATAATACATGCAAAACATCAGCGTGCAAGAGCAGAGCAGGATGGGTTATCTTTAGAGGAGCACAAGTGACAGTATGACAGTAGAGTGTTTTCTCGAGGCATTCTCAATCATCCTGAATGAACTCCGAATGGTTTCCTGCTGTGTATTCCAGCTGGATTACAAGAAGCTATAGCTCAATGTCATTTTCAATGTGGTGCCTCATAATTAAAGGTCAAACAGTCACTTCATCCGCAATCAATCAATAGACGAAAAGTACTAATACCACATGCTAATCAATCAATGGCAACAGTACTAATAAAATAAATGAATCACATTTGTGTGTTTTAGATGAAACTATCTGTGGATCAGATAAATTAAGGACAGTGAACTGTAATGTTGGGTCAGTATACACAAAAAATAACAAGCACAAAAGTTCTTTCTCCTCTCCTAATAAGTTATATAATTTCATATAAACAACACATATAAAAAATATGATTTTTGTTGACAGATCTGTTATGTTTGTGTAAAATTATATTAGCCAAAGATTTTAATACTTTTATTATATACAGTATGTCTCAATAAAAATAATTGTGCTTTGTACTATTCGGGTGGAAATATCCGATGATTTATGCAGAAAGTTGAACAGTGATTTCTAAAGATGATTGGGGGTTAAGTTGGAGACAGGGTATTTTATGGTAGTTTTGTACTTTGGTTTTTACCTTCATATTATCTCACAAAAAGGGATCTTGAGGAATTAATTAGTTTTTTGTTAAAGTGATATTAAAGGCATTTTAAAAAAAGAAAACAAACAAACATGTCATACTTACCTGCTCTGTGCAGTGGTTTTGCACAGAGCAGCCCCAACCCCCCTCTTCTGCATGTCCATTCACACACAGAGCTGCAGCTTGGCCCTGCCTCCCCCCTCCTCATTGGCTCACTGGCTGTGATTGACAGCAGATGTCTCAGCCAATGAGGAGGGAAAGTCCATGGAGAGTTGAGGCTTTCTTGCACATCACTGGGGCTCAGGTAAGTATTGAGGGGGCTGCTGCATACAGGCTTTTTCATAGAATGCATGAAGATAAAAACTTTGAGCCTTTAGTTCAACTAAAGTCCCCACAGTGTTAAATGCACACTGATCAGTCTAGGGGGAAGCTAATTATATTATTGGTATGTTTTCAGGTTGAGAGGAAACATAGAACACAGAAGCAGAAAATGAAGGGAACATAAAGACACTTTGCTGGCAGTTACTCCATGTATGAGCTTTCCAAAGTGTCCCAAATCATGGCCATATTTATTAGAACCAGTTATACCTGCAGTCGAATCAATGGGCAGGCTCATTTAGGAGGGTCGTTCACACTCTAGTGATCCTCTGTAGTATTTTAACATGCCTTATGTTGTCTATTAATATGTTCTGCATTAGGTCAGCCCGTTCAATAATAATGGACTATCAAGACATCTCAAGAAATCAAAACGACACAAATCACCCCAACTCTCGCCAACTTTTTTTTAAAATCACAAAACAACATACCACAATGCACATAGAAGAGGGTGTGTTGCTTTGCATGGTGGAAACATGCAACAACAAGTTGCCGCAACACACAAGTGTGAATAATCACTTTATGCATTTTGCCGGTGTTTAACTATGTAGGCAAGTCTGGCTGTTACTGTCAGAAGGACTCCAAAAGTATATTTTTATAGAAAGGTTCATCATTTTTTTGGTTCAAAATTAGTTTATAGATGACAGTTTAGATTTAATGGTACTTAGCATAGTTACTCCATAATACTGTCAGCCACAGACATTTCTATTTATAACGAAGACAAAAAAACAAACAAAAAAAACGCAGTGTATAGCTAAGTCTGTGCGCATTTGTTGTAGACGTCCCTGTGCACAGCGCTGACATCTATCATACACTTCAGTGATTCCTAATTTGATGTAGGCTTTTTACTGTTTAGCAGGAGAGAGATGTGTACACAAGGGCCTTAAATAAATAAAAGCTTGTGTCTGAGGTGGACCAACTGAATAAAAAGCAATTAAAAAGCTTCAGATCCTCTCAGCTTTTTTATTCAGCAAGCTTGTTATTCAAAGAGCCCTCAAACTCAATTTTTAGGAGGAGATCATTAATATATGAACACAAGACATTGCCACTGCCAATATTTTCAGGCACCATAGTCCGTTTCACATGCAACACAAAGGCCAAAAATGTAAACAAATGTCTGGCAGTCAAGACATCATCAGGATTGTGCCAGCCATTAGTACAGCAGATCCTGTCAAGGAGCAAATTTAATGTTGACAGGTGACATCTACTTATTAGGCAGGTTAAGAGGCATCGTCAATTTGTATTAAAAATATACTACTGGTCAGCAAGCAAGTTCTGAAAGTGTTGAAGTTTTTGTAGGGTTAACACACACACTCCCAAGTTCTATAAATGTTCCTACAGCAACCTTGAGACTTTCCAAGTAATGGCAATTTGGCAAAAGAGAAGTTCTCTTGTGGTGCAAACACCCAGGTAATCGCTGGCTAGATGGACAACCACCGCTGAACTGTCACTGATGTGCACAGGGCTTGGGGGGCGCAGCTAACTGCTCAAAAGTGGCAGAGATGGCTGCATATTTCTGCCGTTGTCATTTGCACCGGAGCTATTCGCCCATGCAAATGCAGCCTTATATTTACCTAAAGTACATTAATTATACTATGCCACTGTCCAATTGGCCTGTCCATTTAATTGTAGTGAACAAGTCATTCAAAATACTCTACAGCCTGTGTTATCTTTGCAATGTGGAGATAGACTGATTGTTAAAGTGGAACAGAACCCAAAAAATGAAGATTTGCCATCTTATATGGAGCATCTAGAAATGGTAATTGTGCCTGAAAGATTTTTCTTTCGTCTTGAATTCCTCCTTAAAAACAGCAGTATACTTCCTGTGCATAGGCACTTCTATGCCTTGAGCCTCATAGCTGTATATCAGTGTGAGAATGTAAGATACTTTTTTTTACCTCTACTGCTGCTTCTTGATTATTCCCCAAGCAGAATATGGGTACAGTGTGGAAAGCATAAGCAAATCATACAAAATGAAGCATTGTTTTATACACAATTTAAATTGTCTTTGACATATAGATGTACTTACCTAAGGTAAGTGATTTATGGGTTGAACAAAATACTATTGCCACTGTGTCTGCTGGAGTAAAACCACTTTTTTTACTGAAAAAGAAAAAATAGATTTTCCTTATGGCTTTTAATTTGAACCAATTTTGACACACACACATACATATATAGCATGGAAAAAACACAGAATTAAAGGGCAAATATTACATTGATGTATGTAAATCTTCTAACAAATAAGTCATCTGAAAAAAACCAAATATGATTGGAAGAGTAAAGCCGTCTATAGACGGTTCGAATCTTGGTCGGTTCTGCAGGAACAGACCAAGATTTGATACATCTATTGGCAATCTGGTTGTACTGAGATCGATTCACTTATTAACTACAATACAACCAGCCTGTCAGATTTGTTCATGTAATCACTGCGGGTGGCTATCATTATGTTCTGCCAGCAGGGAAGGTTCCACGTCAGCAAAACATAATAGCGCTGGGACAGGGATTCCTCCATCAACACTGACTGTGATAATGGGGAAATCGAGCTATTTTCTTTCCTTCCAACTGTATGGAAGGACAGGAAATGACAATCTAAAATTTGCCAAATTTGAGCTTCTGCCTAGATCAAGATGATTTTATAACTTGCAAAAGTGATGATGTACATTGTACATCTATCATCACGCACCTAAGCCCACTAGGACCTAAAACGTCACTTTTATTATCAGATTGTGTTAAAAAAGATTTATGTGACTAGACTGTGCCATCAAGCAGGGAGTTTTGGGAATGATTAAATGGTAAGATGTCTCAATATACTGGTTCATTCACTGGGTATCCACTATTGCCCTCCTCTATCAACTAGGAATATGACATAATAGTGCAACCAAACCCTATATAACTGTCCTCCTGAGCCTTGAGCTACACAACACTACAAAAACTACAGCACAAGAGTATGAAGTCCGCATGTCTAAAGGAACCATATGGTATAAGGCATAATGTTAAGCATAACACCCAATCATGCAGGAAATATCCATGGAGCTTAATATAAAAATAGCTTCAATACCAGGCAATGATCAGATATAAAGACCAGTAAAATATACATAACCCCATTCAGAGTGAATTCCATATCCAGAAAACTGGCCGGTTTATTTAACACATAATCCATTTGAAGGAAAAAGGAGCAAAATACATGTGTCCCAGAGGATATGGGTAAAGAAGACAACACCAGTGTCCCATGTGGAAATATTCTCAAGTGGGCTGGATGGTAATATTATTTCTTATACCATGTACTTCCTTAGGCATATGGATTGCATACTTTTCTCAAGTAGTTTCAGAGAGACACCATTCCCGCCAAACATTGCTGTATATAGCTTGGCTAATGCCTATGACTGTACAGTTCTTATCTGCTGATGAGGTCTTTTTTATGCTGGCCCATAAAGGTTTTGTAGCCCATCGTGTATTTACAGCATGGAATAATACATCATTGGGATGCCTAGTACTGTTTGCCCTCTTCTGGGTGTTGTTTACTGCAAATCTTCTTAATATGAGCATACCTTGCTATATATGCTGAAAATTACTATGCACAATGCGAGAGCGGTCAACTTCTTTGGGAGCTGTCTTGCATGGACAAAATGCCAAGTATACCAATTATACTATTCTAGTGGACATTTGTTTGATCAAATATTGATGTTTAATCCACTTTCACCCTGGGAACCTGCAATGTATAACTGAGCTTAAGGGGTTCTCTGTATCCTTTAGGTTCTAATGCTTCTTTATAGGTTGATCATGTTGGTTAATTTGCCTGCTGGATTACAATAATATTTTCATTTGTATAGTGATGTTTCTTGTGGTTCATACTTGGGAAGGAACCAATGAGTAGTCATTCTTCATGATAATTGGTTGTCTTCATGTTGCTCAGCATATTTTGGTGTCAGTGTTTTTGAGACACTATAAGGTTGATTTACTAAAACTGGAGAGTGCAAAATCTGGTAAGGCTCTGCATAGAAACCAATAAGCTTCCAGGTTTTATTGTCAAAGTTTAATTGAACAAGCTGAATTGGTTACCATGCATGGCTGCACCAGATTTTGCACTCTCTAGTTTTAGTAAATCAACCCATATTCTGCATACACATTTAGATATCATTTTATATATTTTGAGAATTTTTTTAATTACAATTATTATTGAGCTCATAATTGTATGCATTGCTTACTTCCAGGAGATGTAATGAATGACAACTATTTTAATTGTTATTAACCCGTGGGTTAGAGATAGGGGTGCAGTCATTTCAATAAAAGGTATTTTCAATACATTTCCTGAGTTTTAGTTTTGGATGTATTCACTTTTTTTTCTGATAGATACCTGAAGTTCTCCATATTTTGCTGTACTTATAATTAATGTTTTTGGAGTCCAGGTATTTTTTTTCTCTTTCCCTATTCTTCCCCATCTCCTTTTTCCACATGTACGGTGTTGGCGATTCTCTTTTTATTTACAGTTATGATTGGTTTTCCTGTACAGCTATATATCTCCCATAGCCTATTAATTTTGACTGGGCTGCCAATGCACCTAAAACTGACCATTCACTTTTTTTTTTTAACGTACTGAACCACATTGCAATGATTTTTTTTTAAAGTGTGCTTTGCAGTGTGAAACAGTCTACATTGCACCATGGTGCGTTTGCAAGGCAAGTGTGGGAATTATTTAATTTAAAGCGGAGCTCCACCCAAAAGGGGAAATTCCGCTTTAAGGACTGCTCTCCCGCTCCCCATTAAGGACTGGCACCTTTGGATGGGGGGGGGGGAGCGGGTTCCCTGAATTTGAAAGGTACCCGCTCCCATTTCCAGGTCGACCGCCTAGGCGATCGGAAATGGAAGGTGTCCTCCCTCCCTTCCTGTAGTCTTTTGGGACACGTGACAGGTCCTAGAAGACTACAGGACCATTCACGAAGCACAGCGCTACTCACACATGTGCAGTGGGTACCCGGCTGTGAAGCCACAAGCTATCACAACCGGGTGCCCACACTGAAGATGCCGGCCTCATGGAATACAGGACAGCCGGTGAAACGGGCTGCGGGGGACACACCACGGAACCGAGGGACAGGTAAGTGGCCGTTTTGTAAAAGTCAGCAACTACAGGTTTTGCAGCTGCTGACTTTTATTTTTTTTACAGGTGAGTGGAACTCCACTTTCATTTAACATTAATTTAAAGAGAAGTGCAATGTGCGTTACCATGGATTGTAGTAACGCATGGTAAAATGCACAATTTACAACAAGTTACAGCAATGCACAGATGTGAAGCCAGCCCAAAACAGAAAGTTTTAACTATAAGAAAAAACACAAACGAACCAAAAAAACCCCAAAAAACTATTCTTATGTTATACACAAAATAACAAAAATTAAAAATAACATATAGTAATAATAGTAGTTACTTCCTGTGAAACAACTGAAATAGGTGTCACATTACTTATAATAAATTATAACAGCATGGGGACTTACCTAGTAGCAAACAGGAATGTTAAAAGCATGAATGCTAGTTGAATAAAAAATACTGCAATATAAAATAAAAGTATTATTTTAACTGTGGCACAAAAGTTAGTGTATAAATCAGTAGAACAAATCTAATATATTTAGATCTAATAGTGCCAGATTTGCCTTTCTACTTGCATGTAATAAAGTGAGTGGCAACAACAACCAAAAGACTGGCCCACAATAGTTAGGCAAAATAAGGGAATACTCAAACTACAAGTCAGTTTTGAGAGGTAGGCTGTTGAGCATGTGAAATGCAATAAACACATAAAAAAAAAAAATACTTTTTTGTCTGGCTTTACTAAACTGCATAGGCCTTATGGGTAGCATCTTCAGATCTCTACTGAGATCTATGGTCTCTCTGCTTTGCAGTGTTCCTGCCTGTGAATCTGTCATGGCTTTTAGTAAAATCTTTTCTAATAAAAGTGAATACTTTTTTAATCTAGCACTGGAGCTATTGGCATGTATGTTGAGAAAGTCAACTTACTTTACAGGCATACAGTAACTCAGGTTCATACAGGACCCAACTTTGAAATTGTGCAACGTCACTTGTCAGTGCGACTTCAGGTGCGAATTGAAAGACATCTATGAGACTTCATACACAGATATCTATGCAAGTCGCACCTGAATTCGCAAAAAGTGGTGCAGGAACTATTTTCAAAATCAGTGCGACTGACGGACAATAGGGTGCAACTTGTCATGCGATTTAAAACTGTCAAGTTGCACCAGTGTGCACCCAGGCAATGAGTTAAGTGACTAGGAAGTCATGTATAATCTGCAAATAGTAATAGCTCAATTATTAAACTGCTGAATTTCAGGAAAACAGCTATATATACAGCTGAAACACATATATGGGAGCATATATGTATTTCTATCCAACCATTCATGAACTTTACAAAACCTTGCCAGACAGAAAAGTGATACAGATGATCTTATTTATCTTTAATGCAGTTAAATAACGTAACACAGTCACCTCCCAATACCATTTTAAAAAGGTGACCATGACTGTACAGCATATAGAATGACATCAGATCTTCAGTGGACACTTGCCAGGTGTGTTCTTATTATAGAGAGAAACGCTTTCAAAAGGAAAATTTAAATCCTCTTGTAAAATGTAAATTTGGGAATAGCTAAGGTTTTACCTGGCTTGATTCCTTTCCTCTGAATCTAAACATTCATCAACCTTAACCTTAAATATGCTTTATAAGAAAGTGACTATTCTTTCCCAGCAGATTAGAGTATATCCAAAGCTAAAACTTTTTTGTTAAATAAAACCCTGTCATTTTTGCCATACGTGTCCCACTTCCTTCTCTTATCTTGTAGACACAAATGAAACTAGAGAAAATCTCTACAAAGTGAAGGAAAAGCCTTCCTAGACAATTGCTCCTATTGGAATATTTCCCATCTATTGTTTTTCTGGTGACAACTCAAAATGTTAGATTCCCCCCCCCCCACTTTCAGTGCTGTCCTAGTCCCCAGAACAAAGAGAAACTGAATCTTTCTAGTGGGAACACAGACACCAATAAAAACTCGTCAGGGGTTCTGACACCTCACTACTCTATCCAGGACAAAAAAAAGTTGTGGCTTTAAATACACTTTGAATTAATTTAATAAGAAATGTACACAATTATTTTTAATTTGCTGACAAGCTTTCAAACTATAGGTATACAGTTTTCTCCTTTTTCTGTGATTGGGATTTCTTGATAATGCTAGATTGGGTTCAGAAGAGGATGGTATAACTGAGCAATATTCTAAACACTACAAATAATTAAAAATAATGTCAAGCTTATTTAGAAAGTTATGTATGCTAGGCATATCCTGCTTCTTCATTTCCTGCGTATGTGAATGCATAGTCCAGCAGGTATTACGACAGATATGCACTAAGCACCTGCTGTGAGGCTGCCATACGCAACATCAAAGAAAAAAATGGAGCCACAGGCGTCTCTTCAGCCAATGGTCAGGAGCACCGATCTATCATACAAAAGTAAGCATCATTTATCTTTTTGCTTTCACCGAACATTCATGCAACAACTGGAAATAAAACAGCATAAACAAATAAGGTTTCTATACGTACTGATAAATACAATAACAACCAAACTGAAAGTGTCCAGGTCAATATTTGGGTTAGAGAATGTATCACAGAAGGTGGTGTAGATAATCATAAGCAGGACACAACTGCTAATCGCACCAAATGGAGGTTTCTTCCTCTCCAGCCAGTCCTTGATGTACCTCCGCACAATCTGTAACAGAGAAGCCAACAGGTTGCCTTTTTCAGTGCTCACAGTAAGAGCAAACATGGGCGACACAAAGTGAACTTGACAGCAGAAAGACATAAAGAGAAGTGAATAATTCCAATGACTGCCACAGTGGATTTCAAAAGCTTCCCAGCCGCCACAGTCTTATTCTGGGGAATTTAACAATTTTAGTGCAACTTCCACTGGGCACCTATAATGAGAGTATATTTTCAACTGAATCAAATCTATCCTTAATTATGTCAAATGTTCTTTGCTGGCTGTCACCGAGACAAGCCCATTAAGACTCCCTGATGTTTATCTCCTCTGCTGATACTAATGGATGTGTGTAATTATCACAATCCCTCTTGCATCAACAGACAATTCTGAGTGCAACTTCAGGAACCTTAAATTTGTGACATCTTCAGGAATTTCATGACGGCACATAATCGAAAGTGATCCATGGAACACGTTAATATTTAAAACGCCAGGAATGCGCCAGAAGTTTTTAATTAAATTATAACTTATGCTTGAAAAGCAAAAGTGTATGTGTTAGGGGAGTTTAAATAATTCAACGTCTGAATATCTGGAGTTTTCATAAATCTAAAGATAAATGCCATTTGATTTCTTTTATTTTCCAAAAATTAATGCAGAGGAAAAGAATTAATCACCACCTGAGTAATTAATTAGAAGTGTGTGTGTGTGCGTGTGTATGTGTGGAGGGGGGGGTTAGTAGCCGATGCCTTTAAACTTTAAAAGCAGAAAACTGTAGTCTCAGAATTGTTTGAGCATGTTGAAGGATAGGACAAACTGTAAAAAAAAAAAAAATCTCAAAAACATTAGACTGTTCCTGACTTGTTTATCATCAGTGAGAAACTAACCAATTAAAGTTTTAAAAGATGGTTTATGGAAAAAAAAACAGAAAGACGGCTGCAGGAGTAAAGTGCAGGCACCTCTAGATGCCTGCACATACCTGCAACAGCTTCAGAAATACTGCAGACATAGACAGATTCCAATCTATTCTGATCGACAAGGCTCCAACACTTCCGAATTGTGCTGAAACTTGCTTCTTCCTACCTCCTGCACATTCTATTGGCTAGAGAGACTGCCCATTATAATAACAGACCAACAAAAATGTAAGAGGGGTAAGAACTGAAGGTGTCAGAGCTCTGCCTGTCAATAAGGCTCAGCTATGTCTGCAGGTTTTCTGAAGCTATTGCAGCAAAACTGTAGCCTCTAAGGCTGGACACGGATGGATCAATTCTTATTGATCAGCCTGCCTGCTGATAAAAAAAAAAGGAACAGATTCCCCCATCCACACATTCCGTTTAAGAGAAGATAGTTTTGCTGTTTTATTCTAAAGTTTCCAAGATTCTGGAAGCATACTAGCACTGTATTCCGATACGTGGAATATTTTCTACCCTATGGTGACTTTTTTTTTTGCAGCCAATTTCAGTAATATATTTTCATTTTAATTATAAATACTGTAATTATGAAAGCAAATAATATATAGATATATCAACTACAGTTTCCAACAATACTCAAACACCTAAAATAAAACATTATTAAAGACAATAGTTAAAGTGTTACTAAACCCAGGACCCTGCATTCACTATATCTGGTTTCTCACAGTACACACAACATGGAAATGCTTTTTTTTTTCAGTAAATATAAACTGTTAAATACCTTTTCTCATCAGAAGTTAGAGCAGTCTTGTGACTTATATTCAGTGTACATCAGATCACTGGTTATAGCTTGTTTTCATTCTCCCGATTGTCCTATGAAGCTGCATAACCCCTGACCCTCTGTCTGGACAGCACTGATTGGCCCTGTGCTGATCACATGCACCCTCCCAAAGAAAAATAAAACTCTCTAGCAATGCACATCAAACTGAGAATATGCAGCTTGCCCCCAATGTTCTGTACTATCAGCAGATGGATTGGGGATGTGGAAGAAGCTGAGGATCAGAGAAGACAGGATCAAACATCCCTTATAAACAATGCAGAGGATTAACCCCTTAGATGCCACAGTGAATATAACAAGCATGCTTTACTGCATATACAGACTGATTTTACTGTTGTGGGTTTCGTTACACTTTAAAGTGTTACTAAACCCATGACCCTGCATTCAGTATATCCAGGCTTCCACAGTACACACAGCATGGCCATGCAATTATTTTAGTAAATATAAACTGCGAAATACTTTTATCATTAGCAGTATATAGCAGTCTTGTGACTTCTATCAGTGTCTAGCTGAGCACTAGGTAAAACATGTAGGAAGAGTTTTCATTCTCCTCTGACTGTCCTATGAGGCTGCATGACCACTGACCCTCTGTCTGAACAGTGCTGATTGGCCCTGTGTTGATCACATGCATTCTCCCCAGAAAAAAAAAAAAACTCTCTAGCAATATACACCAAACTGAGCATGTGCGGAGTGCCTCCTAGGGCTCTGTACTATCAGCAGATGGATTCGGCACAAGAGTAGAAGGGGAGAATCAGAGAAGACAGGATCAAACAGCCTTTTTACATAATGCAGAGGGTTAATCCCTCAGGTTCCACAGTGAGTATAACAAGCATGCTTTACTGCATAAACAGACTGATTTTACTGTTGTGGGTTTAGTAACACGTTTGTTACTTGAGTTTTGGAAAACCGCTGGCTTATTTACTCCTTAGAAAACCCACCTAAAACTGAGCACCCAGCTCCACCTATCAGCTATTGTCCTCTGCTGACAACGCAAAGTCAAGCAAGATAGTCTCACAGCTTATGCTTCATTATTTGTAATGTAAAATAATGAAATGTTCAATGGTGACAGTGGGAATTCAATCATAACAGGTGGACAGAGCTGGCAACTCAGGTACAGAGGTCTTGCCACAAAAATCCCTGTGATATGTAAGGAACTTGTGTATATTTCAAACTGCCAACATGACTGCAAAACAAAACTATAAAAAGCAGTCAAACAGTCCTTTATGAACCGTAGGCAAAATGTGCGACATAATGATAAAGTACATTTTCATAACAGTAGTTAAGCCTAAAATCCAGCTAGCTCCCTGTGGCAAACATATCTTTAGGAGTCTCTTCAGTGTTCACTAAGCTTTAAGCTGGAGATCTGTATGGATGTTTTATCATCATACTCTTCTGCAACATGGAAAAGTACTGGTTTAATGGGTCAAAGACACAAGAGTAAAAGTAAGCCCTCATGCACACGGGGCGTTTTAAAAACGCCAGTAGCGTTAGCTGTATAAAGTCACGTTAAAAAAAACAAGTTTTTCTACATCTTTAGCGTTTTTGCATTAGCATTTAGCCATGTTTTTCCGCATTTCCGTTATTTATACAAAAAAAAATTTTTTGGTTCAAACACCCAAAAACGCCGGTGTGCCACCTTTTACAGCATTTTCCAGCATTAGAGCATCCTCTAGAAACCCACCAGTCCTGTTTTTTTTTTTTCCCAGCCAAAAGGTGCCCCTGTCAAAAAACGCTAATTAAAGCCTATGTGTGCATGGACACATAGGATAACATGCTGGGGAGTTTACTGGTTGTAGAAAAAAAAAAAGAATCCGCCAAAAACAGCCGCTGTAAAAACATCTAGTGTTTATGAGGACTAAGAGTTTACACAATTTTGCAGCCCAAAAACTTAATCAATATTTGCAAATGAACTGCCGAATGCACAAAATCTTTTTTTTTTCTTAAGATTTGCGTTAAAGGAATTATTTTCTATCTAACTGCACAAATACTACTGATAGGATTTATTAAATTGATATTCCAAACTTGAATTGTTTTAATGAGCATTTAGGAAATGGTCATGTAACTCTAATGTAAACTAATAGGCGTGGTAGTAAGCATGGTACAGAAAATTATTTTACTGTATGTCAGCATTGCCTGAAACACATGGGACAAATTTGTGATGCTAAAGCAAATCAACAAAATTGTGAAACCTTTTCATTTTAATTTACCCTTCCTGCATGCTTTTTTAGGCCCCTTTAGGGATTCTGGTGTTCATGCTTCTGCAGCAAACTGGGATCAGAAGTGGTCCGCAGAAGCCTGTACTTTCTACCAGAGTTCTAGTGGCCAAACCTCAGCGCACACCCACTCTTAGAATCTGCCCGTACCTAAAGTGACATCTGGCAACCCTGGTCAAAGAAACCAGCTGCCCAACAGTCAACAGAAGTGAGCACATAAGCAGTCAGCATACAGCAGTCAGCAGTGGGAAGTGGGCACATACGGCAGTCAGCAGAAGTGGGCACATACGGCAGTCAGCAGAAGTGGGCACACACGGCAGTCAGCAGAAGTGGGCACACACGGCAGTCAGCAGAAGTGGGCACATACAGCAGTCAGCAGAAGTGGGCACATACAGCAGTCAGCAGAAGTGGGCACATACAGCAGTCAGCAGAAGTGGGCACCTACAGCAGTCAGCAGAAGTGGGCACATACAGCAGTCAGCAGAAGTGGGCACATACAGCAGTCAGCAGAATTGGGGGCACAGAATGGGCACATACACAGTCAGTGGGCACATACAGCAGCAGAAGTTGGGCACATACACATCAGTGGGCACTACAGCCCCCCCTAAGGGACACAGAATTTGAGGCAGTTGATGGCTCCTGAACGCAGAGCTGCAAAGAAGGCCCCAGAAAAAAAGCCCTCACACGTTATGGAGGACAGACCAGGGAGCTAAACAGAGAGAAAATGGGAACTTGCCCACATTGTTCTCAGGTGGACAAGTAGGAGACAGCCCAACAAAGCCTACCTGCACCCAGAGTTCCTGGAAGAATGTTTCCATCTGGAGAAGGAAACAAAATAACTGGCATGCAGCTGATAACAGCCTTTTTTTCAAATTCTCAGTCAATTGTGTTCCCTTGTCTTTGATGGGTAGAGTCACACTTTCAGGCGCTGTCCTGGAAAAGTGACTGGAGAAACACAAATGTAACTATGGAATTCTCTCCTAAGGTTCAAAACAACATTCCAGACTCCACCTCACAGAAATAAAACTCTTTCTATTCCAAAGAAACACGCAGA